TTTTTTTTTTTGTTCTTCTGCCCGTTCGAGCAGGTTGCGGTGCATGTGGAGGCTTCACCCTCGCGACCTTGAGATCTCCGATGCTCATCGGATCACCCGCGCAGTGCGGCTGACTTTCTTTGGCTTTGGCACAGACTGCCTTCTAAGTACAGTTCTTGGCTGATGCGGATGGATTGCAACGCTGATGCGCTTGCTCTGCACTCGGCAAGTGTCGGAAAGCGACGACGGTGGGGTCGTTAGGTCGGGTTCAAGAGGCTGCATCTGTCTGCCGCTCCGGAAGTCGCCGGACCGTGCGATTTGAATTATCGTGTCGAATCTCGAGCCCTCACAATTGAGAGAAATCGCAGGGCTCAGTCGGGCACGGTTCGGCCGCGACGGCAGCTCGCAGGGACCCTTCGAGAAGCCTCCTCCACCTCGAAGCTTGACTCTCGCCCTGTCGCCCTCCCTCGCCCACCTCCTCATCATCTGTTCAGCAGCATGGCGACAGCAAAGATCGCCACTCTGGCCATACGCACGCTCGCCAAACCTATCGCGACGCAGCTCAAGAGCCAGGCCGCCCAGCATGAAACCTTCCGCAAAGTAAGCGCCGCCCCCTTCGCAACACTCGTGACGCCGTTCTCCTGCTGACGCTTGGCCTCACTTGCTTTGCTCGATTTGCATCCAGATCTGCATATCACTAGCGCAGAGGATGCATCGGACCGAGATGGCTCTGCGCACCAACCTGCTTCCGAACGGTGTGCAGCAAAAGGTGCGGCCGCTCAACGATGCCAAGGCGATCGCCAATGGCGCCAACGCCATCTCGGAGGGCTTCCTCTTCTTTGTCGCAGCAGCGCTGATCCTCGGAGAGACCTACCGCGGCTCGCGCAAAAAGGCAGAACAGCGAGACCGCACCGAGGATGCGCTCAACCAGCTCAGCGACCACGTACAACGTATGGCGCACGTCCTCGGCATCGACCTCGACCAGCTCGAACGCCTCGACGACCAGCAGCGAGATTCCTCGTCAGAACCGAGTGGGGCGCTGAGAAACGGGGATGTGACAGAGGAGGCAGACCCGTCGCTCATCGAGGCGCGCTTGAAGCTGCTCCGAGAGAGGCAGGACGAAGAACTAAAGAGCCGTCAGCTCCAGGCAGCGGTCTCGGTGCTGTTGAACATGGCGCTGGAGAAAAGGTGGGTGGTGGGGCCAGAAGCACTCGAACTCGAGGCGATCCTGGGCAAAGATAGAGCGACACAGATCGCAGCATCGTCATCACCCCGCTCTGAGGCCGCGCCAGGTGCGGACGGCTCGCTTCCTCCGTCGATCATCCAGCAGGTTGCGCTGGACCGCGCCAAAGCACTCGCGCGCGAAGTACGCACGGTTCCATCGTCGGATCCACCACAAACCGACGCCTCGCTCGCCAACCTCGTTGCGCAACTCTCGCCCTCCACACCACAGCCGTCCTCCGCTTGATACCACACCGACACCCTCCATGACGCAAACTTGCACAGCTACAGATCTTGCCATTGGCGGAATCAGTCTCGATACATACATACATATAAATCATCCACATCCTGGCCACGCAGGCGGCCAGGGAAGAACAAGAAAACGCGGCGTGAGGACTGGAGCAAAAGAGGGAGTCGGAGTCGCGATACAGTCGAGGAGGGGGGGCAGGAAGGGCGGAGAAACAGAAAGCAAGGACCTGCCGGGTATCTCGGTAGACAGGCCGTGCGGGTAGGGCGAAACACTCGCTGCGCTTAGGCGGCGCGGGGTCGGATGGCGATGGCTTCGTACTGGGCGAATCCGAACGCGGTGGCGGTGGCCCAGATCTGCAGGTCCACGCCGAGGTGGGCGAGCACGTAGTCGTAGGAGAAGAGCGAGCGGAGACCCCGGATGAGTGCCGACTCGGGCACCTCGCCCGCGGCGACGCCCAGCACGGCGGGAGCTGGCAGGCCGAGTGCGGTGAGCGTGCTGTTGGGCAGCACGCGCGCCAGGAACACGAGCGCCGACAGACGCGCCAGCAGGAACGAGTACGTCGACGGCTGCGAGCGGCGGTCAAACGTGACCAGGTGGGCGACTGCCAGCGGCACCAGCACGCTGTACACCGCCCACAGCACCAGCGGTCGGTAGAACGCGACGCTCACCAGCGCGCGCGGGTCTGGCAGCGTGATGGCCCAGTGCGGCAGGTAGCCGTTGATGCCGCTCTTGGGGTTCACCACGGGGATGTGCGGACCGCGGCTGCCCAGCTGGACGTACGTGGTGGGCAGCGTGGCGAGCACGAGCAGGATGCCCTCGAAGGCGATGAGCAGACGCACGAGGTTGTGCGCATCGCTGAGCCACGTGCGCGTGCGCACAAACAGCTTGTTGCCCGCGTTCTTGGCCTTGCGGTAGCGCTTGGCCGCTTCGCCCTGCACAGCTTGCAGGCTGGCGGCCACCTCGCTCTGCGCGTCTTGCACCTCGGAGGTGAGCTCGTGGGCGGTGGATCGCGCCGAGTCCTGGATCGAGTCGACGAGCTTGTCGAGCGACTTGCGCGCCTTGAGACCGCGCTGCTTGACCGTCGTGGCCAGCTCGGACGCGCTCGCGCCAAACGGCGTCGAGGGCGTGCCCAGGTTCGAGGGGCGCTGCGAGTGCTTGCGCGGCGAGCGCACCGACGATTCGGGCGAGTCCGACGCATCCGAGTCGCTGTCAGTTTCGAGAGAAGTAGGAGCAGATGTCAGTGGTTGGGCCTCGTGTGCTTTTCGGTCGTTCATGACGCGCGGCAACTTACGCGTTGCCGTTGACGCTGCTGGAGCGCGCGGATCGCCTGCGCCCCGAGTCGAGGCTGTCGATGAGGCCGCGGAAGTTGTCGTCGGACGAGTACTGGTTCTTGTGGCTCAGCAGGTGTTCGCGGATGAGGTCTTCCAGCTCCTCCTTCTTCTGCGACTGGTCGAGGCCGATGCCGAGCGCCTGTGCGATCTCGGTGAGTTCGCCCTTGCGCTTGGCCTTGAGCGAGCCCTTGAAAGGAGTGGACGACATGGCTGTATCGAGGCGAGGCACTGTTCGGTGGACGTGGATGTCGAGAGTCAGGGAGCGAGCGACCGTGTAGTGGATGGATGAGAGAGAAGAGCGACGGAGGGATGCGTGCGTGGATGGATGGATGGATGGATGGATGGAT